CTAAACAAATTGTGAATAAAAACTGAATGCAATGATGTGGAGATGGCAAATGTCAATATTTTATTCGTAATATAACATAGATGACAGATCAAAAGTTTAATCTGAGTAAATGTAACACTTTAAAGGAAAAATATGTTGATTCAAAATTTCACAGTGTCAACAAATCCCAAAAAAGTTGGGACAAGTAGAAATAAGTGGCTGGAAAAAGGAAATCGAGCATATAACGAACAGCTGGAAAACCATTTAACACCAATTAGGTCAATTGACAACATGATTGGGTATAAAAAGAGCTTCTCAGAGTTTCAGTGTCTCTCAGAAGCCAAGATGGTGAGAGGATCACCAATTCCACCATTGTTGCGCAGAAAGATAGTGCAGCAATACCAGAATGGTGTTGTTGCGCAGAAAGATAGTGCAGCAATACCAGAATGGTGTTACCCAGTGTAAAATAGCAAAGACTTTTAAGTTATCATCATCAAACGTGCATAACATCTTCAAACGATTCAGAGAATCTGAAACAATCGCTGTGCGTAAGGGTCAAGGCCGTAAAACTCTACTGGATGCTCGAGATCTCCGGGCCCTTAAACATCACTGCACTTCAAACAGGAATGCCACTGTCAAGGAAATAACAGAATGGGCTCAGGAATACTTCCAGAAAGCATTGTCAGTGAACACAATCCACCGTGCCATCCGCCGTTGCCAGCTGAAACTCTACAGTGCAAAGAGGAAGCTATTTCTAAGCAAGCTCCACAAGCTCAGATGTTTGCACTGGGCCAGGGGTCGTTTAAAATGGAGTGTTGCAAAATGGAAGACTGTTCTGTGATCAGATGAGTCACGATTCTTTATGGAACACTGGGACGCCATGTCATCCGGACCAGAGAGGACAAGGATAGCCCAAGTTGTTATCAACGCTCCGCTCAGAAGCCTGCATCACTCATGGTATGGGGTTGTGAGCGCATTAGAGCGCTTGTGGCATGGGCAGCTTGCATGTCCGGAAAGGCACCTTTAATGCAGAGAACTATATTCAGGTTCTAGAAAAACATATGCTCCCATCTAGACGTCATCTCTTTCAGGGAAGACCCTGCATTTTTCAAGACAATAATGCCAGACCACATTCTGCAGCAATCACAACATCGTGGCTATGTAGGAGAAGGATCCAGGTACTGAAATGGCCAGCCTGCAGTCCAGATCTTTCAACTATAGAGATTATTTGGCGCATCATAAAGAGGAAGGTGCGACAAAGAAGGTCCAAGACGATTGAACAGTTAGAGGCCTGTATTAGACATGAATGGGAGAGCATTCCTATTTCTAAACTTGAGAAACTGGTCTCCTCTGTCTCCAGACGTCTGTTGAGTGTTGTAAGAAGAAGGGGGGATGCCACACAAAGGTAAAAATGGACTTGTCCCAAATTTTTGGGGATTTGTTGACACCATGAAATTTGGAAACAACAGATTTTTCCCTTAAAATTATACATTCTCTCAGTTTAAACTTTTGATATGTGATTTGTGTTCTATTCTGAATAAAACATTAGATGTTGGCACCTCCACATCATTGCATTCAGTTTTTATTCACAATTTGTTTAGTGTCCCAACTTCTTTGGAATCCGGTTTGTATATATACACATACATATATATACACACACACACACGTGTGTGTATATCATCATGTACAACAATCAAATGCTTTAGGCCAGATGGCCGACTTGCTACTCACAGAAACAACCTGAGCCTGGGCCTATATCTTCAAGATTTTTGTTGAGTTCCTTTGGACTTTCTTATTGTTCTCAGTATTGGTCAGTTTGATGAAGAGTGTCAGATAATCTCTTTTGGCACACAATCAGGGTGTACAACATTGTGTTTGATTTAACATTGAATTGTTTATAAAGGAAAAACTCTTGAAAAGAAAAACTAAACTAGGTAAAATAAAGCAAAAAATAGCATCCCCCTGCCCCCTCCCAGAATGGTAAATGGTAAATGTACTGTACTTATATAGCACCTTTCTATCTTATCATGATACTCAAAGAGCTTTACACTACAAACTGTCTCCTCATTTACTCATTCATACAGCACTCTACTAGATCTCTACAAAGTTAATTGAACAAATTGTTCTAAAGAGACTAATCAGTGCTTTAGATCACATTCATACACCAATGGGACACACATCGGAGGCTATGAGGGGTTCAGTGTCTTGCCCAGGGACACTTTGGCATGTGACTGCTGATGGATTCAAACCACAACTCTTCCATTGCTCTAAGCACTCAGCCACAGCCGCCAGAAAAAATATTTAAAAAAAATTGCCTGGTACACTTTAATATCAGATGGCAGATATGTTTGTCCATTAGTCCAACTCTATTTGACTACTGATCTTCAAACACCCCCCATCAAAAATAAGTAGGCTGCTCAATTATCTATCCAGAAACTCCAGCCTATAATCATGAGCAAATCTAGAAAACTATTGGTGGGGTGACAAGAACAGGACCAAAAACTTTGATGTGTGACATTAAATCAAAAACCATATTCATTGATCTGTGGAGAAGCATGCCCATTACAACTAGGCCTTCTCTACCAGACCAAACCTCACACATACACTTTACATGTGCACTCATGCACAGAGATAGGACTGTAGCAGCTCTATATGCAAACTGCTATTATTAAAATTAAAATCTAAACTTTAATATGTTGTGTTGTTGATTTCCCTGACCCCATCAAGGCTTAAACTTAGAAGAAGTGCTGCAGCCAAACAAGTTCACCAACAAGAAGTTAATAGGCCTCGGCCTTGTCAACAAAATAAAAACATACTACTTTGTAGAATGTCCAGTTCAACTTTATAAAATATTTAGAAAACTGTATAAATTTTAGCCTGTATGCATAATTGTGACCGTAAAAGCAACAAAAGATTCAAATTTGTGCACCTAATCTTTTTTAAAACCATGACAGTTGAATATTGTGCAATGATTCCTCAATGAAAGAATCAAACAAACCAAAACATGGTTTATATAAACCATTAAAGGCTGAAATCAACATGGCATTTATGCCAGTGAAAATTGTATGTAAAGTTCTGACAGCAGCTGTAACGAGGTGTGAAGAATGATTAGAGGGATAGAATGTGCTTGTGTGTGTTTAGCACCAGAGTCTTTACAAGAAAATTGATTTTAACAAGCTAAATGAGTTACAGTCAGACATCTAGACAGTGACATGAACACCTTATTAATCTATACACACAACCGACAAAGCTAATTGCCTGTCAGAAAAAGTGCTGGAACACACACACTCGTACAACACACAAACACACTCAGCAACAAAACTTAGACTCGATCTCATACACAAACACACCCGTACACTAACTTGTGTTTCTTGAGTGACAGTCCCATATGCTGCTTCATCTGTTGCAGGCCATGGTAGTCGGTGTAAATGAGGTCAAAGGGCAACGGTCCAGTGAGCGGGCAACTTCCTCTACCTGGGGGCACGCCAAGAAACCTGCAAAACACACAAATAATAATCAGATTACTCAACCAGAAAACCACGACACAGCAAACAAAGACACAGAGCATGGACAAGATCTCAGCCCTGCAGACACACATTCATTATTCACTCATTAAAAAAAACACTTTCTGCTTCTTTTTGTTAGAGGCAAGAAGAAAAACAAAGAGTGCTGTTAGCAGGGAGTGAAATGGATTTGTTCACAGGAGAAATACTGGTTTTCAGATTAAGAGGAGAAACTGGACAATAAGAGCCTGTCTCCACTCATCCACATGATGAGAGTGAAAATAGCACCGTGCTGGAACTACGTCACCTGTGGCGCTCAACACACCTTTAGTGGGTTTGTTGCCGATTGTTATGCAACTGCTGCAGTTCTCATTTTTTAAGATAAAATGTGTGAGTGAGAGAGTGAATGGTTGTTTGTCTCATTTGTCTCTATGTGTCCCTGTGATGGACTGGAGACCTGTCCAGGGTGTCCCCCGCCTCTCACACAGTGATAGCTGGATATGGGCACCAGTGACCCCCATGACCCAAAAAGGAAGAAGCGGGTAGAAGATAATGAATGGATGGATGGATGGATGGATGGATGGGGTGTAGCAGTAGCTGAGAGTTCATCTACTGTATCTTCAATGCATACTACGAGCAATAACCTACTGCATGAGATCTCTTTATAAAACCTATCTAATAACTTATGGAGTCAACTCTGTCTGTCTGACAGCAAGATATCAAACTGTTCAAAACTTTCAAAAAATAAACACTGAATATAACTGTATATAAACTTCTAGAATTGCGCCGCTCAAGGTGGCTGCATGTTGGAGCAGCTCTGTCACTTTCATTCTGAGATTTTGCTTTAGGAAACTTTAATTATCCTGGTTTTCTGGATGTAAATCACATTTTTTGGATGATTGTTTCCTCTGGTATCAGATGCTGTGCAGCCGGAAGGATTTTTACTGAAACCTTTTTGGTTTTGGACATTTGTTATGATGCGTAACCATGGCAACAAGGCAGTTTTCTACAACAGCAGCTGAATAACATCTCAAAAGCTCAAATAATATCTCAACTATGGCCCCAACTCTCAAATGAGTTAAAAAGGATGTTCTGTGGACGCATTCTCATCTACCTGCCAGCTGTGCTTGAGTGCCTGATCACTGAGATCCTGGAACTAGCAGGAAACACGGCTCACAACAGCAGATAGACAGGATCGTCCCTCAGCACCTACAGTTGACTGTCCACAGCTATGAGGAGCTCAGCAGACTGCTGGGAGGAGTGGCCATTGCTCTGGGAGGAGTTCTGCCCAGCATTCGGGCGGTCCTACAGTCCAGGGGAACCGAGAGGCCAGCCGAGTCTGAGTGGACGGATCGGACAGCATCTGCAGCCAGTTTCTTAGGATCCACTGTGGGATGGACCTTTACAAGAGATCCTTCCTGTCTGCAGCCATCAGTATCTATAACATCTCTTAATGAAATGAGGATAACGAGTTACAACAACAAAATAATTTCTCTTTGGGATTAATAAAGTATTATTGAATTGAATTGAATTGAATTATATTTACAACAGATTTATATTTAGAGTCAACCAAACTCAACAAGGCTACCACAGCTAAACATCAGCCAATATAAAAACGACTATAAGGCCCTGTTTACACTAGACAGACCTATCGAAATGTTAGTTTTTGTCTGTTTATTGGGGTGAATAAACAAAAAAAAAAACCTTTTCCTTTGATCTAATGTAGTTTCCATGCCAGGCAGCGTTGCCATATAAGAAACAAGAAAATAACAACACATCACTTTAAAATTATTGTATTTTGACTCAAACTATCTGAATGAGGGTGTTGTAAGATGAGGAGTGTGTTGTGATTAGTGAACATCTTTGGAAAAGGAGAGCGTGTTTCCAGTTCTAAAATTGCGCCGCTCAAGGTGGCTGCATGTTGGAGCAGCTCTGTTACGTTCATTCTGAGATTTTGCTTTTGGAAACTTTAATTCCTCTTTTTCTGGATGTAAATCACATTTTTTTGGATGATTGTTTCCTCTGGTATCAGATGCTGTGCAGCTGGAAGGATTTTTACTGAAACTTTTCTAGTTTTGGACATTTGTTATGATGCGTAACCATGGCAACAAGGCAGTTTTCTACAACCAACAGCAGCTGATTAACATCTCAAAAGCTCAAATAAAATCTCAACTATGGCCCCAACTCTCAAATGAGTTAAAAAGGATGTTCTGTGGACGCATTCTCATCTACCTGCCAGCTGTGCTTGAGTGCCTGATCACTGAGATCCTGGAACTAGCAGGAAACACGGCTCACAACAGCGGATAGACAGGATCGTCCCTCAGCACCTACAGTTGACTGTCCACAGCTATGAGGAGCTCAGCAGACTGCTGGGAGGAGTGGCCATTGCTCTGGGAGGAGTTCTGCCCAGCATTCGGGCGGTCCTACAGTCCAGGGGAACCGAGAGGCCAGCCGAGTCTGGGTGGACGGATCGGACGGCATTTGCAGCCAGTTTCTTAGGATCCACTGTGGGATGGGCCTTTACAAGAGATCCTTCCTGCTTACAGCCATCAGCATCTATAACATCTCTTAATGAAACGAGGATAACGAGTTACAACAACAAATAATTTCCCTCTGGGATTAACAAAGTATTTTTGAATTGAATTGAATTGAATTGTGAATTAAATTAATTGTGTTTATGTGGCAACACTGAGAGCTCCTCTGCATGCATCAGGCAGCAGGTGTCAGCATGATTCCAGTTACATACACACTGGTAAATACACAGATGTTCCTTTGGACCAAGGATGTTGTTGGTTTGCTCCTAGGTGCTGAAAAAGGATGAGTAGAGCAAACAACACTCTGCTCTGACATGTCTTGTATCTCTTGTTAGTTCAGAAAAACTTTTGACTGCAACCGCCTATAGTGCAGATATGCGATTTCCAGAAGTGGAAAGAGTACTGAAAATTTCTACTCAAGTACAAGTACTGTTACACTGCTTAAATTGTACTCAATTACAAGTAAAAGTACTGGTGTTATAAAAATATTTAAGTCAAAGTACTCTTCTCAAAAACTACTCAGAGTATTAATTACTTTTTAACCACTTGATATTTTTATTGTGTTTTCAATATAAGGCATTCAGTTTGATTTACTGTATATATAATAAATATAAATATAATAGCTACATTCAAAGTTCATTTCTCAGAAGCTCAGAAGCTTCGTCTTATAGTACCAGTTAAACCGATGGCAGTGACAATATCTAAGATCTTTGAATACTTAGCCAAACTAATAACCAACACATACAAACACTAAAAAAAAGCAAGTAGTTTTAAAACCTCGTATACCACAATATGTTCTTTGAGATTAGATGCTGAAGTCTTGTAAGCTGTTATCACCGTAGAGATCAAACAAAGTTTGCATCTGGATGCTGTCTCCTTTCCACCCCCTATACATGAAACATTCCTCCAGGTACATCCACGGGCACTCGTCCTCAGCCTTTACCTCGTCACTTTCTCTGTGGACAGTGTTGTTCTCTGTCTCCATTTTGGATTTTTCTTCAAATCTTAAGTAAATAAATGACTCTCTACTCTAAGGAGTTGGCCTTTGCTTACGTCATAGGTAGTTTGAGCGTTCATGATCTGAGAGCCTTATTGGCTACAAAGGCGCACATGAACAGTTTGAATATTAATTCAAATTGCAGCCGTACTCAGTAGTGACTTCTGATTTTAAAAGTAGCCAAGTAGATTACATGGTCTAAATTGTACTTAAGTATGAGTAAAATTACACACTTGAAATAAATACTCATAAAAATAAAAGTACTGAAAAAAAATCTACTTAATTACAGTAATGTGAGTATTTGTAATTCGTTACTTCCATGGCGATTTCACATCTGCAGAGTATTTAACACCTCTGTGAGTTTCCCCCCGAAAACCTTTAGTTTACGAGATAACAGAGGCTGATGTAGTGTACATAAACGGCAGAACTACAGCAAAAAGGCAAAAAAAGTGTAACATAAACAAGGCTTAACTCACTCAAATCTTGCCAGATCTTTGATTGTAAAAAATCTGCATTAATTGTTGGACGCAAGTGTGTATGTCTCTTGGCAAAATATGTCATGAACACCGGATGGTTTTTAAAGTAGCATTGACAAATAATTATTGGTCATCATTGGACATCAATAACTGATAAAGTTCTGACGTTAGTCTAAATAAAGATGGCCACCTCAGCCAATTAGCCATAGCAAACACCTAAAATGATTATAACTAAGTCAGAATTACAGATACTGAGCTAAGGTTTGGTGTGGTAATAGCTGAGAGGCATCCCTAACACACACTCTGAGTGCCAACAGATCTTTGTTCAAAACTTTGACGTGCAAGGCAGCGTGCAATAAGCCTTCCTCCAAGGAATGCTGATTTTACTGAACAAGTACTTTTAAGTTATTCTAATATTCTGTCAAAAGATGATGAATGGTTCATGTTCTACTTTTGACTTTCAGAGTCTGTTTAAAAGAACAGCTAATTTTCTATGCTCCGTCTGTACATCTGTCTCCCTCCTGATCAGCTCCTCTGAAGACTGGAGGACTGATTTTGCAGGCTGTGTTCATTGTTGCAGATAAAACAGGTGTTGTCAGTCCTCTTCCCTGCAGCCCTGCTGCTGAAATACTGTTTGGCCTCTCATTTGTTTTCCTACCATTTGTTTCGTATCTCTGCAGGCTGTGCCCATGCTCTGAACTTCTCTTATTTCTTTCCTTTCATCATTTTTGCTTGTTACTCTGGAACTGGTGAAGAACTAAGCAGATTTTTTTTTTTATTCATTTATTTTTCTTGTTCATTTAATGAATTAATTTAAGTGATTATTGCTCACCTTTCCCTTGAATTGTGCTTTTACTAACACCATCCATCCATCATCTTTATCCACTTATTCCTTTTTGGGTTGTGGGGGTCACTGGTGCTCATATCCAGCAGTCACTATGTGAGAGGTGGGTGACACCCTGAACTGGTCTCCAGTCCATCACA